CGCTCCTCCCCCGCCGCCTCCGAGCGCCCGCCCAGGCGCGCTCCCGCGGCGCTCCCTGCCGGCACCCGGGCGCGGGTGTGAGGCGGGAACCCTGCGGGGCTGGGGGATGAGGTCCTGCTCGTCCCCCACGCGGCGAGAACCGCAGGTTCGGGAGAGCGGGTGCGCAAATTGTGTTGAGTGGAAAGGATCTGGCTCTGCGGAGATCCCCGCGCCCCTCCAGCCGCCTGTTCCAGGCCTCTGGGAACCCCGGGGAGCTGGGGACAGAAGGGCGCACCGGGTCTCCCCCTGGTTCCGGGGAGCGCGCCCTTTTCTGCCCGACTGCGGCCGGCGCCGTGGGTGCGGGCTGCACGTGCTCCTCCCGAGCAGCCGCTACTCGAGGCCCGGGCGCAGGTGGTGCCGGCGCGGGAGCCCCCGCAGGTGTGCTGCCCGAGGGTGGCCGGAATTGGGCTGAAGCTGTGGCCGCGCGGAACCGGGTCTGGGGCGCCCAGTCCGCCTGACGGGAGCACGCTCGCGGCGACACCTGGCGAGCGCGGCCGGGGGTGCGGCTGGGGCTCCTTCAAGGGGCAGGATTCTCCCAGCATCCAGAGGTGCTGACCCCATCCTCTGACACACACCCCATTCAGGGAGCTGGCGGATGTTGGGTTCAACTTCCAAACTGAAGGAACCGAGGGTCAGGGAGGTGAAAGAGTTTTCGAAAAGTCGCCAGATAGTTGTCCCTAACTCTAATAAGCCCTTTCCTTCCCCATCCATCCAGACCTCCAGGCCCGCCTAGCCTTCAAGATTGCTTTCTGTCACACACACACACACACACACACACACACACACACACACACACACACACACACTCACACCCCACAGCCCTCTGTCCAGGCACTGTCGTGCTCACGAAAGACACAAGGACCAAGAAAGGCAGTCCTTACTCTTGGAGGGAGACAGGCCTTGTGTGAACAGACGCACACCTTCAGACAGCCCTGGCTCAGAGGAGGTAACCAGACGGTGACAGGAGAGGGGCGGGTGCTGGAGAGTTTATTTGAGCCCTGGGCCTGAGCCCTGAGGGGCCCAGGAGCTGGGGCTGGGCAGGTGGCGGTTGTCAAGTGCAAGAGCCGGGACGTGGCATGAGCCCCGGGAAGGCACATGGGCTGCACTGGAGAGAAGGAAAGCAGGGGTTGAAGGGGAGATGGTGTGCAGCCCGGGAGCCGAGATCCGGGAGGAGGAAGACGGAGGAGGAGCAGGAGGGGGACTCGCCTGGCTTGTGTCCCGCCGTCCCTGGGAGGCACGGGCATCCTGTGAGCAGCCTAGGGATCTGCCCAGGCCGCGCTAAGCCTCTGTCCACGGAGTTCACGATGCGAGCCATCCCAGCCCTGTTACCAGACAGGTGTGTGACATCGTCCCCAGATCCCAGCCCCAGCCACTGAGCATGCGGGCCTGGAAATGTGCTCCGCTGAGCACTGAGGACCAAGGCTATGGATCAACCTGAGTAGACCTGGTCCAAGTCCCCGAGCCCCATAGCTGACATCCCTGTGGCCTCCTCTCCTCCTCCTCCTCTTCCTCCGGTTATCCCTGCTACAGTCAACCCCAGCCCGTGACAGTCTGCCTCATGCACCATCAGCATAGTAGAACAGACTTGCTCATGTCACCAATGTTGGGGACACTCAGAACCAGGAGATAGGGGTGGGTGCTGGGGACCCCAGTGGATCAGGGCCAACTCTGAGGGCTTCTGCAGGTGAGAGAGCAAGAGGAGGATATAGGATTGAAGAACACACAGACAGGCAAGGGGATCAAACATGCCAGCTGCCCCTGAGCAGCTGGCTGAGGACTGATTCAGTGACCACATCCACACCCGGGGAAGCACTGCTTCAGTGTAGTGGCACGTGTTATCCTCTGGGCATGCTCGGGCCTGGTGCTGGTCTTCCCCGCACCGCTGTCTTGGTCACCGTGATTTTCGGTATGAGGAGTGTGAATGACAGAATGAAATGAAATCCCAGATTCTGCAGCCAGGACAGGGCTGAGCTGGGAGCTGAGTTTGGAGTTCACTGGCTTCAGGTCAGCTCTAAGCTCTAAATTTTGCTGTCATCTATCAAAGAAGACAGACTAGGGCCACCGTGACAGAAAAGACAGTGTTGGCACCAAGATGGCTGTGTTAGCGGCTTTCCAAGCTGGCAGGACACCTGAGACTTGTCAACAGAGACCCGGGGTACCACAGCGCATCACAGTGGGACTGAGTGGCGGAGGAGGAAACTGCTCCCTCATGGCAGCTGGGGAGCAGAAACGAAGAGGCCAGGTCCCAAAGTCCCTGCAAAGCCACGCCCACAGTGACCTCACTTCCTCCCACTCAGCCCCCACCTCCTGGAGGCCCCGCCCCCTCCAGGAGCCCTGCAGTCTGGGACCACACCTTCAATTAGGGGCTGAGGGGAACCTTTCAGGTGCAACGCAGCAGAGGGTTTGGGCTGTCGAGAGCAATTAGAGTCCTCACGCTAGGAGTGGGCTGTCACTCAGCCCAAGGCTGGGACCCTTGGGAGGCCAAGCAGGAGGAATGGGGACTCAGTGCAGAGCTCAGCAAGCACAGGACTGGAAGAACCCGCTGGGAAGAGGAGCACCTACAGGTGACTGAAGAGGCCGAGCCTGAGAAACCCGACGCTAAGGAAAGAGCCAGAGAGCGAGACAGGTGTTTGCTGCCTTGGCCTTTGCAGAGAGCTAGGGAGGCCAGGACAGGAAAGGGGCCAATCCAGCAGCCCCAGCACCTCAAGATCTTTAGAGTTTGGTTCCAAATGCTATCATGCCCCTCATTTTGCTTCCTGCAGTTCCGGCTACCCACAGTCAACTGTGGTCTGAAAACATTAGATGGTCAATTCCAGAAATGAACAGTTCGTAAGTTTAAGTAACTTTTCTTGTGGAATCCAGTTGTAATTGCTCTATCACGTGTCGTGGTGCCTAATTTTAAGTCCAGCCCTATCACAGGATGTATTTGTAGGGGAACTCAGCCTTATCTAGAGTTCAGCGTGGGTGGAGTTGGCACCACCGCGGTTTCAGGGGAACTCATCCCCTGAGGAGGGGGCTGCTGCGCCCTTTGGGTCTCCACTTTTCCAGACCCTGTCCTTGATCACAGCAAATCAGAGGGTGGCCACCAGCATTTACACAGAGGAAAGAGACCAGAAAAAGCCAGAGGGCTTCAACAATGGGGTTCCAGCTGGGTGTGCTGGCTGTGTCTTGTGCATGGGTGCGCACACTCGGGTGTGAGCCTATGGGTTGTGATTTAAGAGAAGTTGAGAGAAGACACTGCCATTCTTTCCTATGCCTGGAACGCCTTTCACCCTCTGTTCTACCTGTAAGCTGCTAACTCATCCTCACAGCTCCCCCATCTCACCTCATCAGGAAAGCCTGCCTCCCCCACCTGGCTTCCATCCTGGACTCATGGCTGCGTCCTTATTCGTCCACTGGCCATGTATGCATGAGGATTAGAGTGTGCCAGGCCCCGTGCCACGTGTGAGGATACAGCGAGCGCAAAGGTCCAGGTCCCAGGTCCCTTGGTGAAGAGGGCGCATTTTATGGCATTTCCTCCTGAGCTGACCTTGACGGAGCTCTTCCACCCCTAATGATGTCTGGGCTCCCTTCCTCCTCGGCTGAGATGGAACCTCCTCATGAGAAAGGCTCTGTCCCCTCCACTTCCTCCCAGCACATGCCTGGGGGCTCCACCAAGGAGGCCATGGCCTGCTAGAAAGGCCGTGCATGTTGGGGTCGGCTGAGCCTGGGTTAGAGCCCAGCTCCCCACTTGTCAGTTTTGTGATTCAGGATAGTTTTTGTGTGTTTGAGCTTGTTGGACTTTCTCTGGGGCTAGTAATCTCCAGGTCGTTTAAAACTTGGGGAACTATGGGCTTCCCCCAGAGAAAAACTGTACCTGATTCATTGTGAGACCCAGAGGCAGATTTGAGTAACTATTTTGTGACTCACGGAGTCATTGCTGAAGTTTTTGTTTTTCGGAGAACCATGCTCACCCAGCATCTCTCTCCCCACCTGCCCGCTTGCTTGGATCCCGGAAGGAAAGGACCTCTCTCCCCAGCAGGTTCAGGTTCTTTTTTCAGCCGGCCCAAGCCTTTCTGGGGCAGGTGCACAGCTGGCAGGTGCTTAGCTGGGCAGGTGCTTTGGTGCCACCTGCTGGAGACAGAAGGAAAAGCGATTTAAATCTTGAGCGCAGCCCTGAGCCTGCCCTAGCTGGCTGATGTAGGCGAGGGTTCTCCAGGGCTCCAGGTCTAGCTTCCCTATTCACTATCTCTGGGACCTTGGGAAAGTCACTCACATCTCTCTCTGCCTCCGTTTGTCTGTGTCCTGGCCATAGGAATGGGTTCTGCCTCCTCGGGTGAGGTGAGGTCTTAGACTGCGTGTCAAGTGCTTAGGCCGTGGCCCAGAGCACAGCAAGTGCCGGGTGCGCATTCCTGAGGACCCTTTCGGGGGAGACCACAGCCACGGACCAAGGAAGGATGCGTGCTCCAGCAGTCTTTGTGGACGGCTCCTCTGGCTCAGCTGGTCTTTCAGTGGTGTTTGGTCGTTTCAGTGTCCCCGTTTGTGCATGCAGGAGGTCGGCAGCAGCACAGGCCCCAGACAGCCAGGAGCAGAGCTCAGGAGCAATTACACAGGGAGCGGTGACCGCGCGGGGCTTGGGGGGTACGTCTTCGGGGGCGGGGCTGAAGAAGGGCTCTCTGCAGAGCAGACGTGCGCTGAGCGCCAGAGAGTGACAAGCCCGTCTCCCCTCCTCCTGCAGCTCCCTGCAGAC